GATCTGGCGAAGTGATAACCAAGTAGTGGTCCCGAAGACTTGCCCCGTTATCGCACTTCCAGTGGTAGAGTGTTCGCACCTCCGGGAACCTCCGTTGTCGCACCTCCGGGAATCTCGACTATTTTCTCACAACAAAGCCAGTAATTGGTTATGAAAATTGGATATTTCCGTCTACCTCGTCCGATTTTCATCTCTAATTTGTGGGACGTCGAGTGTTTCACAGCTACGGTAGTGCGAGTTGTATCCTTCACAGCAGTGATGCATACAACTCGCAGTGGGAAGACCTTGGCAGTGGGAAGACTGTAGCAGTGAGTCCTGAGGAAGGACATCACCAGAACCGCAATGGCAGCCTGACAGCACCATGGTAAACAGTGTCTTCAGGTTGGTGTGAGAGGGGCGGGTGCTACCCACACGCGATCCTTACATCACTCCTTCCCACTACCAGGTAACAGCCTCCACCCACTCCTTCCCCTCCACCTATTCTCTTCCTTTCCCTTCATCTGTTCCCCTTCCCTCTCCACTCTTTTATCTGCCTCGATCTACCACTTTTACCTCCAGATGGGTTTCAGGCCCTATTGTACCTGTTCATGCAGCTGCGCATGCTGTATGTGGAGTGTGCCTCCACATACAGCTTATTCGCCTCCGTCGAGCTCATTCAGTTTCCATACACCCTTGTAACTAGAGAGACATTTCTAACATCCCGTGGCTCATTTTAAGTACTTAGATGAAGGCCTCTGGCTGCCTACAAGAGGGAGCTGGACAGATAAAAGTCGGTGCCGGATCAGCCAGGCTGTGGTTCGTATGTTGGCCAGCAGTAACAGCCTGGTTGATCAGGCCCTGATCCACTGGGAGGCCTGGTCGTGGACCGGGCCGCAGGAGAGTTGATCCCCGGTATACCCTTCAGGTAGGCAGGTGGATTCCAGGTGACGCTGTATTCTTGGTCCTAGCCTCTGGAACAGTCTGTTAACCTTTGCTAGACCTCTGACGCGTTTTGGGAGTTTTCCTATCTAGAGTCTACCCGGAGGGTGTTCCGGGGGGTCAACGCCCCCGCGGCCCAGTCCTTGACCAGGCCTCCAAGGCCTGGTGATTTGGTCACCCTGTCCCTTCCCTGTTTCCCCGGTCATCTGGTTCTGAGTGTACTACCTGCTACCTACCTGGAGGCCGTTCCGGGGGTCAACGCCCCCGTGGCCCAAGACATTCAAAAGTTATAACATTGCAACTTGCATCCAATTTTTTTTAAATCAAAATGGAAAATTGGCAATTACACAGCAGAAAGCCAATTCGAGTCGCCCACTAAGGCGCCCCAATTATGGAACTTTAAAGCCAGTCGAAAGAGGCATTATCTTATTATTTAGAGTAGGTCCCTAGCCTCTTGGAGTACTTAGGTGTCTCTCAACAGTATTCTTAACCGGTGATGACCCTCGTGTAGCGGCAGGCTTTAAATACGATTAACCAACCAAACCTACCCCCATCACACACGTCTGATGATCACATCACCACCACTACCACCAACCAAACTTACTATCACTACCACACACGTGTAATGACCACATCACCACCACTACCACACACGTGTAATGACCACATCACCACCACTACCACACACGTGTAATGACCACATCACCACCACTACCACCAACCAAACTTACTATCACTACCACACACGTGTAATGACCACATCACCACCACTACCACCAACCAAACTTACTATCACTACCACACACGTGTAATGACCACATCACCACCACTACCACACACGTGTAATGACCACATCACCATCACTACCACCAACCAAACTTACTATCACTACCACACACGTGTAATGACCACATCACCACCACTACCACAACCACCAACCAAACTTACTACCACTACCACACACATGTAATGACCACATCATCACCACTACCACAACCACCAACCAAACTTACTACCACTACCACACACATGTAATGACCACATCATCACCACTACCACAACCAACCAAACTTACTACCACTACCACACACGTGTAATGACCACATCACCACCACTACCACAACCACCAACCAAACTTACTACCACTACCACACGCGTCTAATGACCACTAGTTCCGCCGTACTCTCACACCCGCGGGACTCCCTCAAAGAGGAATCAAAGCACTCCGCGCCACTCGGCCTTCATTAAACGCCAATAAAATCGCGATGGACAAGATAAGGCGGTCATTTACATGTTTTCTCTTACGACTCTGGTACAAAAACGAGACCAGCAACCTAGCAGTGTCGCCACTCACTGATGCCTCCTTCACCACCGTCCAATCAATCTGGTCCTGATCGCTTCCCAGCTGCTCAATTGCCTCGGATTTTGCGCTCCAGACACGCAACGCATCTATACACGACTTCCTACAGCTCTGGGAATGTTTGAAGCAAGCAAAGACCGGAAAAAAAGAGGGTCATGAGACCTACTGTGGGATGTGGCAGTCCACATGTTCCAGGTCTTGCCTTAATGGTTAAGTATCCCTTCAGGGATACCTTAAGCGGTTGACTTATTTTTTCTCTCTCCTACTCTTCTGCCAAACTTTTGTTTGTACTTGAGAACGTCTCGTTCGATCGGCTTCAAATCTTTCAACGCTGGTTTATGCCACTGGTGATATGTGCATGCGCCCTTCTCGTCAATGTTACGTCGACCATTCCTAGATTTTCGGGATGGGCGAAATAACTTTGAAAACCTTCTGACTGTTTTCCAGAACTGAACATTGGTGAGCTCTATATCCCAGGAAACCAAATATGCAATATAATGTGATCATTGAAAACGTTTCTCCCACACAGTGGGCTCTTATCAAGCCACAAACAGATTTGACTTGATAAAGAATACTTTGTGGGCGAAACGTTGTCAACAAAGGATGTCGTTATACTGCTGGTATGTCTTCATGGTGTCAGTGTTTTACAACACTTTTCTCCACTGGTATATTCTGTTTAGACAACAGTGGTGGTATTACGCCATGTTCTGTTTGGACAACAGTGGTGATATTACGCCATGTTCTGTTTAGACAACAGTGGTGATATTACGCCATGTTGGTGTTCTGTTTAGACAACAGTGGTGGTATTACGCCATGTTGGTGTTCTGTTTAGACAACAGTGGTGGTATTACGCCATGTTGGAGCTCTGTTTAGACAACAGTGGTGGTATTACGCCATGTTGGTGTTCTGTTTAGACAACAGTGGTGGTATTACGCCATGTTGGTGCTCTGTTTAGACAACAGTGGTGGTATTACGCCATGTTGGTGCTCTGTTTAGACAACAGTGGTGGTATTACGCCATGTTGGTGCTCTGTTTAGACAACAGTGGTGGTATTACGCCATGTTGGTGCTCTGTTTAGACAACAGTGGTGGTATTACGCCATGTTGGTGCTCTGTTTAGACAACAGTGGTGGTATTACGCCATGTTGGTGCTCTGTTTAGACAACAGTGGTGGTATTACGCCATGTTGGTGCTCTGTTTAGACAACAGTGGTGGTATTACGCCATGTTGGTGCTCTGTTTAGACAACAGTGGTGGTATAACAGCATTTTCGTGCCCGTTTCCCAATTTTATTTGTAAAATATGGCGGATTTTTCTTCCTATTAAATCACATTCAGTATACTGAAAGCACATTTCCTATGAACGAAACATTACTGAGCGAAACATTATGAGAACAGGAGAGTAAATTTAGTCCATGTAAATGAAAATTTGATACCTAACATAGAAAAAAAATCGAAATCGCTGGATGCTAATAATTGGAGAATGACTTTACTGATAGGCTTCAAACTTTTAGCGCTGGTGGGCTTTACTGAACTAAAGTTTGACCGTAACTTTGAGCTGTGCGAGTTGTGATTTACCAGTTTTATTTAAACAAAACATTTTTATTGTATTTACCGTGCAATGCCTCATTCGATCGGCTTCAAACTTTTAATACTGAAGCAACTAAGGTGCTCTTCAAGGCTGAGGGACTGATTATCTCGTCTTTTGTATATAGTTCTCCAGTCTTCACATTGTGTCCTTCTATTGATAAAGTCGCTGGAGGGCGAAACGTCTTCAAATTAAGATACCCAGATGTTGCTCATGTGTCTAATTCTTTATTATTTAATGACGTGGGAAAAACATTATTCTATGATATGAATGCTGGTGGGGGCCAACACGTTTCTCTTCACTATGTTCAAAACGTCTCCTCTCACTGCTGGTAGCCTGGCCCTTGGTTCACAAGGAGCAGATATCAGGGGTGAGACGTGTAGAAGTGGGCTACCGGTTCGAGACCAGGAAGATGACCACTCAAAAATGGCCAGTCAGCTGAGTATATTAATGTGACGTAGTGGTCCCACTCTCTCGCTAATTGGCTCCTTAATTTCCGCGTATCAGAGATGTTACCTGTCGGAGAGGACCCGGAGATAAGCTCGTCTCCTGATCCAATCACAGCATCCACAAGTGGACAGGTGAGATGCCGAGTCATCTGTCTTGTGTGTATCAAAGCTGTCGTTTTGAGTGTGTCAGAGAGGCTGAGGGGATGCTGGGAGAGGAGAGAGAAGTTGTCTCAGGCCAGACCTGACACTCAAGGCAATATTTACCTCAACACCAGAGATCGAATGTTTATCACACTCACCGTCTTCTACCGAGGTAGGCTGAGCACCCGTGCACCAGTCTTAGTGCACGGCCATATCACCGTGCACCGCGTACCGATACTGCGAGGTATCGGTACGCTACTGCACGCGTAAGTAGATCAAATGTAAACCTGTTTTTTAAAAGTCTTAAACCCAAGGTACAGTATTGCCTCCTTCATATGGCCATTACTGTACCAAGGTACAGTACTGCTCCTTTATATGACACAGTAACATTAATGAGGCTTTAGAAATCCCTCTACAGAACTAGGGAAGATTACCTGCTTTTAAATCCCCACAGACGCACAGATTACATAATATAAAGAACCCTCCCCAGACCAAGGGAATTACACCATTTAGTTAGAAATCTAGAGTTAACTGCTGGAGTACTCACCCTGGCCTGCAGGGCCTGCTGCTGTAGTGGGTCCAGCGATGGTATGGGCGGCCTGCCCCCGCCCCCTTCACTGGTGGGTATGTGGGCATTCTCCCTCTGGGGCGTGTGGGGCGGCGTGGGCGGTTCTTCACCCCCGCCCATGGCGTTGTTTTCAGCGACTCCAGTAGCTTGCCTGAAGGAGGAGAGAACACGGAATGAAGGTGCTTGTCTGAGTGACAAAGAGAGACAGAGGGGGACAGAGGGGACAGAGAGGGACAGAGAGACAGAGGCAGAGAGAGAGAGAGAGAGAGAGAGAGAGAGAGAGAGAGAGAGAGAGAGAGAGAGAGAATTATAAAAAATTATACCACTTGAACCAGAGTCAAAACCAATAATCGTATCTCACAACACTTGCTGTCCCTGTTCACCTAGCAGTAAATAGGTGCCTGGGGTGTCAGGTACTCCCAGTTATCCGATGGATTATCGATGAATACCACTCACACAGGTGTAGAATGGCCTAAACACCTCGTCGTAAGCAAACAAATATTGGAGCAAGCAAAGGACAACAGCGGTATTACCTTCACCAAACAAGTTGGTATTTACAATATTTACAGTAATGTAAGTGTACAACACGGTGGTCAAAGGAGGCAAAATGCAAGAGACAGAGAATGCACCGTGTACCTGGAGGTTACCTGGAGGTTATTCCGGGGATCAACGCCCCCGCGGCCCGGTCCATGACCAGGCCTCCCGATGGATCAGAGCCTGATCAACTAGGCTGTTACTGCTGGCCGCACGCAGTCCAACGTACGAGCCACAGCCCGGCTGATCCGGCACTGACTTTAGGTATCTGTCCAGCTCTCTCTTGAAGGCAGCCAGGGGTTTATTGGCAATTCCCCTAATGCTTGATGGGAGGCTGTTGAACAGTTTTGGGCCCCGGACACTTATGGTGTTTTCCCTTAGTGTACCAATGGCCAAGGGCCAGCAGCCCTGACAAGTCGGCCAGCAACCCAGACAAGTCGGCCAGCAACCCAGACAAGTCGGCCAGCAGCCCAGACAAGTCGGCCAGCAGCCCAGACAAGTCGGCCAGCACTACCGTTACAAGTCAACCATACTGATTCACAGCTTTGGTGGATGAACCGAGGTGCTTGTATAACGATGGGGCCCTTATTGATCGTTAAATCCTTAGCAGCTTGGTTCGCTACACGGGTGGCAGCCTATATGGAACAGGCCCCGTGGGCTGGTGGTTATAGCTCTCGCTTCACATGGTTAGGGTCTGGGTTCGATTCCCAGCCAGGGTAGATGCACTGGGTGTGTTTCTTTACACCTGTGTCTATGTTCACCCATCAGTAAAATGGGTACCTGGGTGTTAGTGGACTGATGTGGGTCGCATCCTGGGACAAAACTGACCTAATTTGCCCGAAATGTTCTGCATAACAAGTGGCTTTCTATGTAGTAGTATGTCATTGATGTCAGTTATGGTCTGTAAACCTTGTACATGTACTTGTATACCTTGTACATGTACTTGTATACCTTGTACATGTACTTGTATACCTTGTACATGTACTTGTATACCTTGTACATGTACTTGTATACCTTACATGTACTTGTATACTCTGCAGTATGTGATTATCCTTCGTACAACTGTATACGTTGTATCCAGTGTGGAAACTTGTACAATTTTGTATAACTTCTCAGTGTTAACGAAATACCTGTACATGAAGAGGAGCTTGCGAGACGTTGTTCGACTTGATCACTTACAAAGTTCACCTTGTACATGTACTAGGTGAAATGCAATTAGGTTAACCGACAAAGTCGTGTATCTCTCTTAAACTGCAGTGTTGATTCGTGTGAGTACATGCACCTAATTTTCATAGTAAAATTTCGATTTGGTTAATACAACTTCTCTGCCAAAGAGGGCAAGCAGAACAGTTTGGTCCAATGGAACACCCTAAAAATTCAAACTAATCGAATATAAAATGGTAAGTTCAGTGACCTAACGTTCGTCGTGAGTCCTTTTGTATGTTGCGGTATATATGTGTATGCAGGCCATGTAAGGTAGTTTTGTTCGAAAGGTAAAATTTGCGATTTTGGCTTAAATAGCAACGTTCTTCTTGCCGAAAAGGGCAAGCGAAAATTTGTGTATGCAATAATCTCCCAAAAATCATTCTGAACCTAACGAAAAAAAATATATTTGTGTTAGTTTATTATTAAATTATTGTAAACTTATCTAAAATATATTTAGATGGATTAGGCTAAATTAAATTGCGCTTGTTATAATAAGGTCAGGTAAGTTTTCTAAGGTTCTTTTGGTAAAAAATTATTAATTTTATACATTAACATAATAAAGAAAAATATATCTTTAAACGCATAAGAGAAAATTTTAAAAAGGACTTAATTTTAAACGAGTTCTTGCTAATTGACCAATTTTACCTATTCGGCACGACATAAATGTCTCTGTATAAACACAGACAGACAGACAGACAGACAGACACAGACACAGACACAGACACACACACAGACACACACACAGACACACACACACACACACACACACACCTTTAAGCTCTATGTTAGGTATTAAAGTATTCTTGCCTGGTGGTGAACAGGTGACGTGCAACCATAATTGCCCTCGTGTAGTAGATAGGCTTTACACCTCCTGTTAAATCCCCCCCCCCCCATTCAGGAATCTTAGTAAGATGTGTTGACCCTCGTCTTAACTCAACATGACTTCCTTTCCTACCAGAGACATCAATGCTCCCACGTCAAACTCACTGCTCCCACGTCAAACTCACTGCTCCCACGTCAAACTCACTGCTCCCACGTCAAACTCACTGCTCCCACGTCAAACTCACTGCTCCCACGTCAAACTCACTGCTCCCACGTCAAACTCACTGCTCCCACGTCAAACTCACTGCTCGTCACAGAAGCTTAGTAAGGTGGCACTAACACAGGAGACGAACAATACCTGCCGTGCTATCCTGGTGAGTGTGTGTATACCAGCCTGGAACACCACACACAACCTTACTATAACCCGTCACTAAGACGTGTATGTGTGTGTGTGTGTGTGTGTGTGTGTGTGTGTGTGTGTGTGTGTGTGTGTGTGTGTGTGTGTGTGTGTGCACGTGCACCACCCCCAGAGGGTAGCCCAGTAAGGGCGGACATTTCCCTTGCTAAACACATTATAATCAACGCATTTTATCTTTTAAATCACTGCATTGTATATATGTATATATTCACGTATATATACATGTATATATATATATCTCCAATTGTGGATTGCGATCCATCTAACCGGAATTTGAAATCGGGTATACCAGTTCAACATAGAATGCTTCAATACACGTGATTATACCAGAGTTATTTATCACTTAAAAAACTGTGGCATTCGGTGGACTGAAGAAGGTCTCACAACAGGACGAAATAATGGCCGATAAAATACAACAAAAGCCTCGGCGGCGTCTACATCTCTCTTCGTACAAGGCGAATTAATAGCCAGTGAACAAAAGAAACTCGATCACCGTTCACTGGTGCAGTGTGTGTGTGTTCACCTGGTTGTGGTTTCAGGGGTCGAGTCATAGCTCCTGGCTCCGCCTCTTCACTGGTCGCTAATAGGTCAGTCTTCCTGCTTCATGAGGTTTATCATACCTGTGTGTGTACTCACCTAGTTGTACTCACCTAGTTGAGGTTGCAGGGATCGATTCCAAGCTCCTGGCCCCGCCTCTTCACTGGTCGCTACTAGGTCTCTTTCCCTGAACCGTGAGCTTTATCACACCTCTGCTTAAAGCTATGTATAGATCCTGCCTCCACTACATCGCTTCCCAAACTATTCCACTTCCTGACTACTCTGTGGCTGAAGAAATACTTCCTAACATCCCTGTGATTCATCTGTGTCTTAAACTTCCAACTGTGTCCCCTTGTTGCTGTGTCCAATCTCTGGAACATCCTGTCTTTGTCCACCTTGTCAATTCCTCTCAGTATTTTGTATGTAGCTATCATGTCCCCCCTATCTCTCCTGTCCTCTAGTGTTGTCAGGTTGATTTCCCTTAACCTCTCCTCGTATGACATACCTCTTAGCTCTGGGACTAGTCTTGTTGCAAACCTTTGCACTTTCTCTAGTTTCTTCACGTGCTTGGCTAGGTGTGGGTTCCAGACTGGTGCCGCATACTCCAATATGGGCCTAACGTACACGGTGTACAGGGTCCTGAATGATTCCTTATTAAGATGTCGGAATGCTGTTCTGAGGTTTGCTAGGCGCCCATATGCTGCAGCAGTTATTTGGTTGATGTGCGCTTCAGGAGATGTACTAGTGTGTGTGTGTGTGTGTGTGTGTGTGTGTGTGTGTGTGTGTGTGTGTGTGTGTGTGTGTGTGTGTGTGTCTAAGCTTATTCCAAAACCTGTGTCTTGTCAACTCCCCCATTGTTGGCAGTAATCCATTCTCGTCAGATTTACGATATATTAATGGCCAAGGCTTCGCTAAACTTACGGTGCACTACAATGTAAACTCAGCTCCAGCTGAGATTAGTGAGCTGGTTTACATTCTTAGGAAATAATAAATTTAATAACTGAACAGTTTATGGTAATAATGTTAATAGAAATTCCCCCGGGGGCTTTTAAATGGCCTCCTCGTGAGAAAAGGCTGTTGTGGTTTGCAAGGAAATCACTGCATGTGAAGGATGTGATGAATTACCTCAACAGTTAGTAGTATTTGTAGTGATAGTGGTAGTAGTAGTGGTGGTAGTACTAGTAGTAACAGTAGTGATGGTGGTAGTAGTAGTAGTAGTAGTAGTAGTAGTAGTAGTGGTGGTAGTACTAGTAGTAGAAGTGGTAGTAGTAGTGGTAGTGGTGGTACTAGTAGTAGTAGTAGTAGTAGTAGTAGTAGTGGTGGTGGTGGTAGTAGTAGTAGTGGTGGTGGTAGTAGTAGTAGTGGTGGTGGTAGTAGTAGTAGTGGTGGTGGTGGTAGTAGTAGTAGTGGTGGTGGTAGTAGTGGTAGTGGTGGTAGTAGTACTAGTAGTAGTGATGGTGGCAGTAGTAGTAGTGGGCCCCGCCCACATGTGACACCATCAACAACTGCTGCGTCGATGTACGTCTTTCACTGACTTCAGTTTAAATGGCGAAACGTGTCTTCGTAACGTTACTCGGTGCTGCGCGAGTCTGATTCATCAGCACCAGCAGTAATAACAGCAACAAGGTCAA